TGGCAGTAACTTTAGTAGGACCGGCGTTTCGGACTTTCACCTTCCCAGAGCACAATGAAAATGTCAAAAGCCTATCAGGAATTTGCCCGCCCAAACAACCTACAAGAATCATTCAAGAGGGTGTAGGCTTACTGAGGCGATGCCATGGAAGAAGATGAGAACGAACCTTTAGAGATGCTGACCAGAGAGGTCCACCTGCCACCCCGAGCTGGTAGTAACGTGGCTTAAATAGGTAAAGCCTTCAGGTCATTTGCTTTAGGGACCTCCGGAGGGTTGATCATGTAGATCAAATCACTCCAAAGGGCCACTCGAGGCTAGGCGCGCCGATGAACCCCTTGAAACAATTTCGACTGCAGGCTATAGAGCACCAGAGGATCTCTCAAGAAGAAGGCCCACGAGCGTGGACAAGGCAATTTCTGAAGTCCTGCCTGGGCTGAATCCGCCGTTCACCACTAACACACCGCAGTCAATGAGTTGAGCGGACTTCTTCGCTCCCTTTGTCAATGTCAACATCAGCTACTTTCTGAAGAAACCCTGTTTTTGTTTCTCAACTGTTAACTAATATAACTATGTTTAACAATCGTCATTTACATGGATCTCCTGTGATCACTTTATCCTTGTTACCGTAATTTGTGGCCACCCTATAGAAATAAGCCTAGAAGTGTGGCAACTTCGGGAAAAATCATATTAAGTTGGCCCCTCATGCGCAGCTGCTCTCCTCCTGCGCCTGAGGCTTGGTCCCCTTTTCAACAAAAAGGAGATGCTTTTCGCATATTTCAGTGTATTGCCACACAGTGCCTCCGTATAATGTGATAAGGATAAGGATAAAGCATTTGCCGTTAATCAATCCCTTTTTGGGATGCGGCACGCATTCTACTTCCATTTGTCATCGTAGTGAAAGGTTTAAGGCGCTATCACATTATACGAGAGGGGGAAGTGATTATCAGTGCAAGTGGGACGTTTACAGACTGCGAGCGGTCCGGGATCAAATCCTGGGTCGTGAGTCGCCCGGGCCAACCAAGCCTTCCATCCCTCCGGGGTCGGTTAATTGGTACCAGACTTGTCTGGGAGGATAAAAACACTGACTTGAACATCGGCTGGCCCCCGCAAGTCATTGTATAGGCCACATCGCATCAAACTGCCTATCTCAAAGCATTACGAGAACGGCTAACTGAGAGAACACTGACATGGCTCTTACAGCTTTTCACGATGCCAGTTCACATGGTTTCGCACTATTCGAGCGAGGGGTCGCATTTGTGGTTTTGGGAAGGGGATGGGGTCCTATTCAGAGGGTTGAGTTGGCACAAGTGTTTGTGAGTGAATGGTGAGGCGATTTTGATTGGTTTTTTGAGGGATTTGGTAGATGTAAGAGGTGCAGGTGAGGTAGGATAGGTTGGAGTAGAAAAGAAACCCCCGCTCTACGGCCGTTTTGGGTTTTGGAGGGATGGAGGGAAAAGGAAATGTGGGGAGGATTCGGTCTGTGTCAACTGGTCCCAGAATCAAACATTTACTATAAAAACAGCCATGATGGCGAGGGTGGGGGTCGGGGGCAGGGAGAAGGATGGTCGTATTGGGGAGCCTCCTGAGTCTCTAAGGTGCGTGGGAGAGCCTCCAAAGAAAGGGGACTTGCGAAGTTTTGAAAAAGTGCGAAACATCACGGCTGACCCTGGTTCGATGCCCCAACTTTTTTCAAGGAGCGATTGTTCAAAGTTAACTCTTTTAACAATTGCATTACAGGCCGAATTTGTGCTCTGTGGCACGGATCGATGGACTTCAATCGTCTATCTCATTTCAACACCATTCGGAACAGCTAAATGAAACATTTTATAAACCAGAAGAGAACTGACCGGTAATATCATTTAATTTATCTATTGTACACTAAGTTTCTACAATATAGTATATTGATAAAGCAAAAGAATATCTTAACTAAATGGTTTACGGTTGAACTCATATATCAGATTGAAGGGTAGCTAGTCCTTAATCTGAAGGTGTGTAGCGGTAGGTATAACTATGTATAAGCATGATAGCCTTATACACTTTATTCAATACATTGTAATATGGGTAAGAGACTGAGGGATGAGGAGAGAGTCCAGAGAATGAACTTTTGAGGAGGACGAAGGCCGAGCTAGAGGCTCCTGCTTCTGGCTGGCAGCTGTTTAAGGTAGGTTTTCAAAGCCGTTGTGTAATCGTGACTCGCTATGCCACGTCTCATAGATGACCCCGCCTGAAGGCGTGGACATGAACAACTTACACAGACAGGATTCTATCATAGTAAAGGTTAGCTAGGCTCGTATAGTTGATGTGTGTGAAGCTTTGGGAGTTCGTATGTATAACAGGACATCGCGTGCTATTTACCATCACTCTACGACTAAGATAGTAGAAGGGAGAAGGAAAAGTTCAAGATGGCAGTGGCCGCCGACTGGCACCTGACGGCTGGCAACTTAAGTAGAGTGATCCGTGACTCGCGAATTCGTGAATGATGAGTTGCACAAGCGTCGAGTGATTCCGCACTATAGTGAGGACATGACATCTCCATTCCTTACAGTAAGCTCGTCCTCGAACTTCAAGTATCATTCCATTAGGCTCGGCAAGTCCAGTAGTTCTTGCCAGCTAAAGTAGAGAAGGTATAAATGTTGAATCGTAATAACTTCCGAAAGCATAACGTGCTCCAGAAAAAACATTCCAGCTCTATTTTTTGTTTGCAAAAACTCGAAAACAGCTGAGTTTATAAAACATCGAACTGTGACATTTAATGATTGCAATAGATTTCAAGTGGCGGCGATCAGTTGATTGCAGGCCCTCATTTTGTTTCCTAATCGATGAGGTGTTCAAAGTCTAATTAGTGTTCAATTTAAAAATCCTTTTCGAATCAGCAAACTTTTTGCGTTCCGATTCCCTGCTAGCCCTTCGATAACACCACGAGAGGTGTGACAGATTTGATTTTGGAGTGTGAGTAGGCCCACAAATCTACCGTCAAAAAAAGGAGCGATTTGGGGTCTCGAACGAATCGATCCGTTATGGATTTGTCCAAGAGCTGGGATTTGAAAAAAAAATTTAAAAAAAAACTTTCCAAAATTTGGAGTTAATCAGCCGCTGGATATCTTCGGGTGGAGCCCATTTCTGTAGGAAGACAACGTTCTTGTGACTCTACTTCCCGAGCCCAAAAGCCTTCTTTATGATCCACGACTTTACGACAGGAACCGTAGGGGGCTGTTCAAAGCATGATACGGCTCCAAAAGCATTACTTCACAAAAACGGATTTCGCACAACTACGATGTTCCTAAGAGTGAGCGAAGAAAGTTGAAGGTGAGTTAGAGTTTTGAGCTGCATCACGGGAGACTTTTTCTTGTCAAACCGGAGGACTCTCTAGCTTCGGCGCATCATCGACTCGATGTCGAATCCAATTCGGCCCTATACCAAAAAACAGCGGCCACTTCGAAAATATAAACAGTTTATAATAAAATAATAATAAGTATAATAACAGGCCTCTAATGAATAATATATATTATTGTTGTAGTCATAGTTCATGAATTCTAGTCTCTTTCGAATTTTTTATGGACAAGAAAGTTAGGACGATTTTTATGGCGCACGTATTTCTCGTCACCTTTTATAATTGATATAAAAATTGGGTGCTCACCTGATTGTGGTGTAGCTTGGGAGTTCGTATGTATAACAGGACATGGGCTATACACACTTTATAACTAGACAGCTACATAATAGAAGGGATTGTAGAAGAGCAGTCGAGAAGGTGAACAGATGAATCGGTGACCTACTGACTGTGTGACTGGCAGCTGTTCGTGCCGACTATCCCGTTAGTCGTTAAATCACTGCTGGCTGGCATGTCTCCAATGCCTGCGCTTTGTTGCGGCGACGCGACAACTGTTCCACTTCTGTTGGTTCTCGCGAATATTCGAATGTTTATTGGTAGGGGTTAGCCGTTAGGTGTTTAACGCGTGGTTACAGTAAATGCTCTGCTACGAAGAGGAAAGAGGTTCATAAAACTTTGTAATAACTATGTCACATCAAAGTTGCAAACAGGAATGTTTGACAAATTGCCCGAAAGGTCAGATGAATCCCAAGTTGTTCAGGCGGTTAACCAGAGCACATTGATTATTACAGCGATTCTGCCCCGAGAAGCGATCTGTAGTACACATTAAAGGTGCACTTTTGGCGAGCTTTCAGTAAGAACAAGAGTTCGTCCATCGCGATACACAAAAGGTTCACAACAGGCAAAGGAGAACAGTTCCAAAATAAGATCACTGACGGAACTCAGAAATCCAGAATGAAACAGACAAAATTGGTGGCAAACCCTCATGTTAGCTGGTTACCTCCCTCTCCATCCCCAAAACAGGCTGTCTAAGTCCGCTGTTGCTGACCTTTGAAACGTCGATTTGAAACTTCTCAGTTGTGAAGGTCAAAGACAGCGAGCACCTTCTTAGTTCAGGCGCTTTTTTCTCCAATATTTACAACACTAAAATAACCTTCGAGAAGGGATGTACAGCAGTACCCCGAATTGCGTCTCTACCTGCTGTCGATGACACCGAACTCATAGTTAAGAAAAGAAGGATGCGACCAGAAATGCAGAGGTTTTTAGGACAGACCCATGGCCTGGTACTGCTGGACACGGCTCCCGGGAAAGGATAGAGATGTGCTGAGAGGCGACCAAAACCCACCACAGTATGGATTTGTCACGCTGAACGCTTACAACAAAGTATAACATCTTTACTGGTATATCAAGGTGTCATTGAAGTGCGGCTGCTCGCGACTCGCCCAACGTTCCTTGATGAGCAGCGCTAAGTTGAGACAGTAAAGCAATCAGCACGCAGTCATGTGTCATTTTCGGTTCATTTGAGAGACAATAGCTAACGAAAGACCGTTGCAGTTTACTTGTATTCATCGAATTCCAAACTGCCAAATGCAAAAATGCCAATCTACGATGCTTAAGCCGAGTTGTTTGACCCATGCTGTGGTGATCATGAGCTTCGTTTGAAATTTGTGCTTCATATTCCTATTGTCAGTTGGTGGTCGGCGGAACTGCGCAATTGTCGGTCAGCACTACTGGTATCGATCTCACGGTGTATTTGGTCATCAGCGGACGGCATTGATGCGTCTGATATGTATCCTTAAAGGGACAACTGCACAAGTCAATTAATATTTGCAATCAATAACAAACAGTAACTGAAATCTATCTATTTCTCATAATCCTCTAGGCTCACCTATTAATTCTTTGTACTTCTTTATGGTGGCCGAAATTTGTCCACAAATCTGTTGGGCGTGGAAAACATCCTGCAAATATGCAATAACTTGAAGAGAGAAACACTAATATGGCTTGAGGGAATGGACTTACATATTGAATTTTCAAATTTGGAAGTTTAACTGCGTCGATGACGTCCTTCGCTGTAATGATAGGTTTTTCCTTCGTATTAGGAATACAAATATAATGTCAGTACCCTATCAAGAACCTTGCTCATAGAGGAAGAAAATAGCAGCCGGTGTAGTGATTGATCGGCTTTCGATGAGACACATAGATTGTCGCCCTGAAACAGGAACACAGTAGAGTCTAGAATATCCCAAGAAAACCTCAAAAAGAAACTTTCACATCACTTATTGAAATAGTACCTTGCCAAATTTCTCCGCTGCAATAGGCGACTATATCTTAATAAACAGTTTCGGTAATCTTCGGTTACTGAACCGGGAGGTATTACAGCCTGGGACAGGGGATCCTGAATAGTCCATACATAGAGTTTCATTGTCGCAGGTTTAGGCAAGATTTCTCACGGAAGAAAATATGGAGGAGGGAAAAAGGCAAGCAGCAAATCAGAGCTCGACCTTTTAATACTGATTCTGGGCTTTGTAGATTACTTCAAATACGAGCGAGGATGACATTTCTCAAAAAAAAAACCCCCCAAAACTTTTTTGAGCATTGAAGAAATTCCAACCGAAGCTAAACTAACTTGTCACACTTCAAGGTTTTTGCATAATGTATCGCTGTGTCAACGCTTTCTCGAAATTCTGTTTTACATGACGATAACGCAGCCAAACCGCGGAATCCTCGCGACCAGTCACCTGTAACGGTAACAATGTAAAATCGAAACAATAGGGCCACCTTTGGGGATGATACCAAAAAGCGATGAACGCAAAGTATTCCGAAGCGATATTTTTTCTGTGAAGATTAAAGGAATTTTTCTACTTCCCAAACATCAGGAAAACTACACTAGCTAGCAGAGACCGGTTTGCTTTTTTATATGCCTAAGGTTGGCAAAGCCAATTTTCAGTGGCATCACTTAGGATGGCGCGAAATAAAATATAAAATTTTACTACAGATCTAATGGGCGGCTATTATATAAGATTTCAGGAAGCTACTGCGTGTCTGTATGCGTCTATTGAAGCACTCATTCTCGAACCAGGGTGATGCACTCGCATTCATCACACGGGACTGCAACTCATACTGGAATAGGGTCTCGAGATATTTTTGGATTGCCTCTTGAGGAAACACCGCCACCTCGGTGCTGCTCCACCCCCCCCCCCACGTAGCTAAATTAGCCTCCCTTCCTTTTCGCCGACCATGTCCACTTTTCCCCCTCTCCGAATTCTTGGAATCTATGTAATCACAAGTTCAGTGGCAAACCCTGCCTACTTCGGTCAGGTCTCGCCCACCATAAAGCAGTTGACCTCCCTTCCTTTTCTACCTCTATCCACCTTTCTCGGTCTCTCAGCTTTCTGGGGGACGGAGTTAAGATGTTCTGTTGCAAACTCCGCCCGCCTCAATGCACGCTTTACCCACCGATAGTAGCCACCCCATTCCTTTGCCAACCTCCCATCCACTTTGTCGCCGGTTTCCAGGGTCGGGATCGAGTTATGAGGATCTCTATTAAACACTTACCACTAAAAAACAAGCTCCGCCCTAATGCGAGCGCTGAGCGGGAGAAGATTATAGGTTCAGGAACATAGTTCTTGTTCACCCGATTTAACCCTCTGCCGTTGCGCTTGACCTTCTGTGACCTCTGCCAAGCTTTTTCCCGCTCTCTATGACCTCTGAAACAGAATCAGGAAAACTTGCAGGAAACACTGTCCACTTTCGGACACGCTCCGCTTAAATGTCAGCGGCAAAGCATAGCGAGCACACATGTCATGTATTTGCTGAGAATATCTGCTAGACATTGCTTCCTTACACAACTGGTTGTGCGCGCTGTAGCGTTTTTAGCACCAAAATATTCAAAGTGTTTCATTAAAGGCTGTTTTAAAAACGGCCCTGTCCACAGGAAGTGGGTTCTCTAATTCATTCTGGTTACCAATGTACACCTTTACCCACTTTTCCCCAGTCTCGGAGGCCGTGTTTGTAATCGGAATTTGAAATCTTGGTCATCAGTACCGCTCATTGCGATGCACGCCACGCCCACTGTGGCCGATGTATGTTTTCTACTTATCCAGATATGATTCACCCAACCCACCCTTGACCTCATCTCTCAGGTGAACATCAGAAAGTAGGAATCGTGACAGACGAACGCGTATACGAAGTTATTACGCATGAAATATTAGGTTGTCCCATAATTAGTGAATCACTTTGGGTATTTTTGAATTCAAATTTTTTTTTTTTCATATGGAGTCTCTTGCTCATCCAAACATACATCCCTGTCATCTACAATGTATTGCCTATACAGGGGAAATTTTGTCGCTGTCTTATCTCTAGAAATCCAGGAGCTATTGATCGAAGAAAGATCGGAAGTCGAGTTTGAGGTCATGTCACTTAGCGTAAAATTCCTCCCTGGGGAAGAGCGCTAGAGGTCAAACTGAGTTGCCTCTTGTTGGCACGAGGATAGGGCCACACAGAGGAAGTGGAAGATCGGCTAGCTTGAGAGTCTCTAATTTTTTATGAATATTCTCCGCAAGGTGGGTCGAACGACCTCAGGAAAAAAGCAGACTTTGTCTTGCTTTACTTTCAAATTGAATGCGCCGCCATTACGCTGTAGATGTTGATCTTCTTCAGTGACTCTAGTATTACTAGGCGGCGGTTCCCAGCGCATGGTCACTCTCGTGCTCCACCAATATCTCTGAAGGGTCGGACTAGAATGAGGTTTGGCTTTTGCTATCAGAACTCCCGAATCGTTCACGCTGGGCTACTGCTCCTCGGAGATTTGCTAGTACACTTCACGCAGTCCAGAACCCTGGTGAATAAGCTGGATGATCACTGTAAGGAACTAAGGGAGATCAGAAGGAACATGACGATGTCAGATCGTGTGCGGAGCTGTTTCGAGCTCAAAGCACACGAGATACAAATTAAATATTTTAAAATCGTTACAACTCTACGTAGATGTCTACATTCCATCATTTTAACAAGTCGGGCATGCTCTAGCAAATGGCGACTAGTTTGTCCATATCCACGCTCAGTGGCGCTGGGTACAGCAGTGAGATTGCCAGTTGAGGGGTAGTTGGAGTGTGGGTCATCTTCAACTAAAAAGCCAACCTCTCGATAGAGTGAACTATAAGCAGACCGTGGAGTGAGGGAGCGTGCCCTCGCCTATCTGCTGGTCGATTCTCTATATTGTTGGGCGTTTGAAAGATCTTAATCAGAAGTGATTAAGAAGGGAGCTCAAAAATAGGTTCCAGAAAAATTGAAATGTCAGCCACGGAAGGCAGCATGGAAATGGGCTGAGTAATTGCTCAAGTAGGACAATGTGGATGCTACTTCGCAAAACATGTTTCACGCCTTCACCAATTTTCTTGGATTTTTAATAACGATAAATGTAAAGTGATTCACTAATTATGGGACAACCTAATATATATGAGTAATGATGAAGTAGATCTTATTCCTAGTCTAAAAATAGTAGTAATGCGAGAGACGAGCATATTTGGGCCACATATTCACACATGAAGAATTGAAAAGCAATTTGTTTTTGTTCTATCCTGCTCTGTTGGCTGGATCCCGCTATTACATTTGCCTGTAGAATAAATGCTAACCAAGATACCTGTTGGCGCATTTATGAGGGTGTGCGTAAGACCAAGAGAATCTGCAGTACTTTTCAGATCTTCGGCTTTCTCTGAATAAGGCAGAGAGACTTCCACTTGTCGAAATCCAGCAGCTGCCGCGATCTTATATCTAGAATTCAAACGATGGCAAAACTATATTGAAGGCGTGTTGAAGCTGCAAAAAAAACTCATACCGTTGGAGCAGAGGCAGTTCCGGATGGAACATATTCAGATTAACTGCAACACGCATATCGACTCAGCCAGAGAGCTAGGACCTGCAATGAATCCGGCATTTCACGGATATGACTGCAAAACTCCTCTTAGATTCGGAAAAAAAGCAGATGGTGAGCATTCTCACGCACGCATTTTGATTTCTTTTTTTCCATCCCCTCCCCTCCTCCGCCGCCGTCCCTGAAGGGTGGGCGGCGCTTGGGCAAGAGGCGAGGGAGATGAGTTTCAGTGTATTCTGATAAGCAAGGCCAAATGAAGTTATGTCCCCCACCCCACGACCAGCGCATCTATGGCCGATGCATTGTGTAGTCTACGTTCAGCTAATTCGAGCGTTATTTGAAGAGATATTACATACAAATAATCTCAGAAAGCTATTAGGATTTGGACAGCTTTTAGGTTACTTCAGACAAGTCCATACAATCGGATAGAGCAAAACTATTCATGGAGAGGTTTTAAAGGAGGATTTTACGATTAGAATGGAGGTCGAGGAAGAAGTAATTCACCTAGTTGAGTAACCCACGGACCTCCTGAGGGTGCGAACTGATGCGCAATTCGCATCGAAAAATTTGACCTCGGCGACCTATTATGCCTCAAAGTTGGCGGTCTGGCGATCTCCGCCCACCGACCAGCTGATCACTCGCCGCAGATCTATACGTGGGATTGATTAGATAGCAGAGAGAGCGTGATGTTGAGGAGGGCACAGCGATAAGAGTCGCATCAATGCGCAAATCAGCGGGGAAGGAAGGGGTCCCATTTCTCGGGTTCTGGGCCGTTTCTCATGGTTCTTCCTTCTTTCGTGTACCAATCACCATCCCTAGTTAATTTGAAATGGGTTGCTTTCCCATCGTGAATTCGTCCTTTAAGTAGGAATAGTAAAGAAGACCTCCACATGAAAAC